TGAATACTGGGGCACTGTGTTTTTTAGATTCATCAAGGAAAAAATCCTGACATTCTTCACAAACTAGGAAAGGAAGGAAAGAGGCAAATGTAAAAATGTTATCAACAATAGACTGGTTTTCACTTTGAATTTTAACCATGTGTTCTGTTCCCCAGGGGATGAAGAACACGTAGTGCTTGGTCCCATCTTGATAGGTGCTTTCTACAACTAGCTGCAAGGTCAGACAGGGTGACCCCCTATTGTCTTGTCCAAGCACTTGCCAATTCGCTTGGAACATTTTAGAAGACATATCCCCACCCCGAATTCCTTGTGAGCAGCTTGTCTCAGGTAAGTGGAGAGGGAAAAAAGTGCAATCTATTGAAGAAGCTGCCTCCTTGATAGCTGGGTTGTTGGACAGCTGTTGGAGGTGGGGGGTGCCCTATACATCCTCACAGCTAACCTCAGACAGCACCTACACAGACGAACAAAGTATTATCAACATTGCCACACAATGTCACACCAGGGCAGTGAGTGAAATGGCTTTGAGGGTCAACAAAGCCTTGTCATACAGCCATCGAGCCTTAAAATTGTAATAAACCCAAAAACCAAAAATGTCATCTATTATAGCTAACCAATCAGTAGATGTGGAGGCTGCATTAGTTTTCTTTTTAAGGCTTTTTCCCCTCTGTTTTCACCTTGTTATCTGGACAGTAACACATCTCCGGTATTAGAGTGCCACCACTCTGGATGAAGGAGCAAATTCTGGATAGCAGCATTATCAGTCTGGGTTGGAGGGGAATGTTAGATAACCTAGCAGATTTAGATTCACTAACAAACTGAAGCCAAACGCCAGCTCACACTTTATATGGCAGGTACAGCAGCAGTTTTTGTTCATTTTGGGATAAAGGTTTTACATAAAAAAATAAAAGCTGATCAAGATAAGCACCCCTGTCAGTGGTAAATGGTTTGTCTCACCCCTATAAACAGATACATTTGGGAGAGAACTTGTTCTTTTGAAAACAACAGACTTAGTGGCTGGATCGCCAGTGACAATAGAAGAAAGAAAGCCTAAAAAGAAAACTAATGCAGTCATCACATCTAAGAATTGGCAAGCTGCAATAAAAAATAAAAAATAATTAATATTGCTTTAATCAAATTGAAGCTAGGTTTAATTTTTAAAGAGAAATTCCAAGCAACAAGTGAAAACAATCAGCTACTAATTTTATCCAGTAAACATAACTATTTGATTTACTATAATCAGAATTCTTTGTAATCCGCTGCAGAATAAGCACACGCAGCTCAATAGAGGGCTTGTAGCCGGACGGTGGGAATGTAACCTGCTCTTTCACTCTCTGCTTCCTGATTCACCAATCACATTCAAACTTCCAACACAGGTTTTAATCTGACTTGAGACTGTAAAAAAAATTTCGACACTGGAGGGTACAAAATGGTGTTCTAGCATCACCAGCAGATGTGTTCCAGGACCACCAGCATACAGACAAGAGGTGAAAAGTAGCAAAGTCTGGATGAAAAACCAACTACTTAAAAAGTAGGCTATATACTTTCTTTGACTGGAGAGAACATTTAATAATATTCTGCATAGGGTATAACAAATAAGGAGTTGTTTTTTTTTTTTTTTTAAAAAGGTTAATTAAGTAAACTTACAGAAGTCATCATCCCGCCAGTCATTCAGTTCCGTGTATGTTATTCTTTTTTTGCTTCTTAAACTGTACGTGTTGCTGCACTGTTCATCCATGCTGCATGTTCATCCATGTTGCTGCACTGGAAGCTAGAAATATGAATGTATAAGTAGATACAGTGTATAGTACTGCTAACTATCCATTGGACATTCACAAACATAAGTCTCCATTCACACTTAGGCATTCCAAATTGGAGGCGGAGATGCCGCGATTCTGCCCTCGATTTGAAAAACGTACTGTGAAAATGCACATTCGCATGTTCGGGTGCAATTCATTTCAATGTCCCCTGAAAACACGGAGGCGTTTTTGCGAAGATTGCAGAGTGTTTTTCCACGCGACAACCACAGCACGATAGCGCAGACAAAAACACAGGACGCGCGACACCCAAAATAAGGTTCCGGAACTGATTTCGTTTGCGCAATTGCGGAGCGCTTGTCGTGCGGAAAAATGCACTGCGATCGTGGCAGAAACGCCCCCACGTTTTCAGGTGCCATTTAAATGATTGGCACCTGAACACGTGAATGTACGTTTTCACAGCGTGTTTTCCAATCACGGGGAGAATCGTGTCCAATCCAGTGTGAATGGAACCTGTTTAAAAATTTAAGCGTGATTCTTGTGAGCTACTATGGTGTATTTTATAAAATACAATTATTAATTTATATTAAAGTTACAATGCTAATTAATTTGCAAAATTAATCAATCAATGAGGTTGTGAAAAATTAAATATGTGGGTCGCTTACACCATACACTTACTCATACTCGTGTGTAACTAAAACCAAATTATACAAAACCGTGTTGCGCTCCACTAATATAAAAATGATAAATTAATAAACTAATATACTCCCAAAAAAGATATACTTATACCATGTATAATCAACAAATCTCTCAAACCATATAAATTTATATCATTCGTGATCCTACTGCAAATCCGTGCTTATTTCCACATTCCGTGAAGGATTAATACGTGTATAAAACTTTATGGAAAAAAATGTATATATCAAAAAAAAATATATCAAACAAAAAATTATAAATTTATATATATCTCAAAAATCCACACAGTGATGCAATCTCTTTATGTGCTCCTTCACCAGTGTGCGCTCACCTGATTTCTTTGACCAAACCATTAAGTGAGGTCAAAAACAGCTTGTGTCCCTTTAAATGGACTTGTAGATGAATGTAGGTTGATATCCCTGTCCCAGATGGATGGATGGATGGATGAGTGGAGTAATTCCTTTTTTCCAGCAGGGTGTCTTTCTGTTTTCCAGAGACCTAATTTCCTGGATTCTGGTGGATGGATGGATTTATCCCTCTCTCCTCCAGGGGGTCTCTCCTCTCCTTACAGAGAGGGATAAATCCATCCATCCACCAGAATCCAGGAAATTAGGTCTCTGGAAAACAGAAAGACCCCCTGCTGGAAAAAGGGAATTACTCCACTCATCCATCCATCCATCTGGGACAGGGATATAAACCTACATTCATCTACAATTTGCAGTAGGATCACGAGTTATATAAATATATATGGTTTAAGAGATTTGTTGATTATACATGGTATAAGTATATCTTTTTTGGGAGTATATTAGGTTATTAGAAATAAAGATGGTGCCGCGCTCTAAAATTATACCCGTGAATAAATAAAATTAATATAATAATGCAGTGTCTATATAATATATTGATTCCCTTAATAAATAAAAATTGTGCAATTCATTATTAATAAAAAATAAATAAATATTGTATATCCAAAATTAAATTAGATAATCAAAACTATAAAAGTATAAAAATATATATGCTTAAAAATAAATAAATACAAATAAATATACTACAACATATAATTCATAAATGTCCAATATACTTGAGAATCCAATGATATATTAAATCCCTTTAGAGTGGGTTATTCACTGCAAATTGACTGTTCACATAATTCCAGATAAAGATACTCAAGATGAAATCAGTTACTTGGTGTATATTTCCACTAGTAGTAAACTGGATGGTTCTCCTCTTTGCTCTTGCTATACTGCTGAAAAATGAATCCTAGGTAAGGTTCTCCCTCCAACAGGTGAGAACATTCACTATATCCTGTCTCCCCGGACCCTGCATTCACTATATCTGGTCTCCCTGGACCCTGCATTCACTATATCCTGTTTCCCTGGACCCTGCATTCACTATGTCCGGTCTCCCTGGACCCTGCATTCACTATATATCTGCTTTCCCGGACCCTGCATTCACTATATCCGGTCTCCCTGGACCCTGCATTCACTATATTCGGTCTCCCCAGACCCTGCATTCACTATATCTGGTCTCCCCGGACGCTGCATTCACTATATCTGGTCTCCCTGGACCCTGCATTCACTATATCTGGTCTCCCCGGACCCTGCTTTCACTATATCCTGTCTCCCCGGACCCTGCACTCACTATATCTGGTCTCCCCGGACACTGCATTCACTATATCTGGTCTCCCAGGACCCTGCTTTCACTATATCTGGTCTCCCCGGACCCTGCATTCACTATATCTGGTCTCCCAGACCCTGCATTCACTATATCCTGTCTCCCCGAACCCTGCATTCACTATATCTGGTCTCCCCGGACCCTGCATTCACTATATCTGGTCTCCCTGGACCCTGCTTTCACTATATCCTGTCTCCCCGGACCCTGCCTTCACTATATCTGGTCTCCCGGACCCTGCATTCACTATATCTGGTCTCCCCGGACCCTGCCTTCACTATATCTGGTCTCCCTGGACCCTGCATTCACTATATCTGGTCTCCCCGGACCCTGCTTTCACTATATCTGGTCTCCCTGGACCCTGCTTTCACTATATCCTGTCTCCCCGGACCCTGCATTCACTATATCTGATCTCCCACAGCATACAGAACATGCAATTATTTTTAATAAATATAAACTTCTTAATACCTTTTCTCATCAGTAGTATATAGAAGCCTGGTGACTTCTATCAGTGTCCAGCAGAGCACATGTTAAAGTTTGTAGGAGGAGTTTTCATTTTGCTCTAGGAGGATACAGAACCCATGACCTCTATATAGTGGACACTGCTGATTGGCCCTGTGATCACATGCACTCTCCCAAGCAAAAAAAAAAACCTCTCTAGCAATACACACCAAGCTGAACATGTGCAGAGTGTCTCACACCATATGTCTTATCAGGAGATAAGAGGAAGACACTGGAAGAAGGGGAGAATCAGAGAAGTCCGGATTAAACACAATTTTTACACAATGCAGAGGATTAACCTCTTAGGTTCCGCAGTGAGTATAACAAGCATGCTTTACTACATATACAGACTGATTTTACTGTTGAGGGTTTAGTAACACTTTAACCCCTTCCCGCCGGTGCCTCCCGGCCCTTTAAGAGTTTCAGAAGCCGGGAGGCGTGGCAGGCGGAGCGCGGTTTAGGGATCATGTGACCACTGTGGCGCGTTGTCACGGCGGTCACATGATCGGGAAAGGTCCCGATCGAAAGAGCAGACCGGGACCTTTCCATGAGTACCGGACACGTGTGCTGGGAGCGCGCAGGGCGCACGCTCTCAGCACATATGTTTTTTTCTTACATGAACGCAAATGTGCGGCCGCTCAGCATCTAGGCCCAGACGCCGGGAGGCCGTACATTTGTGTGCAGCCGGCGTAAAGGGGTTAATATTTAGTGACAATACATTTTTAAAAATTTCTATTTAAGCATGTACTCTTAAAGTATATGTGAACCCTCACCTTGTAAAAACAACCCATTTAGTTTAAAATAGAAAAGGCAAAACATTTGTGCATACATATTAAAAAAAACACTACAAACACCTTTTTTTCCCTTTTTTTATAAGTGATCGCATTCCCTAAGTTCTCAGCTGCATAGGGAGCTCAGAGAGCTGGGGAAGGAGATACAGCAGCACACTGATCTTCCCAGTAAATGGCTATGCAAAAGGGGCATGTCAGCACCAGTGCAGCCTCATCAGCGCACATCAGTGTGGGAGAAAAATTACCTGTTTGCAACCTTTTATAATAGAAACTAAGAAAAATTTTTCTTTTCCAAAATGTTTGCTCTTTTTTTGTTTGCTTAGCAAAAAACAAAAACCTCAGTAGTGATTAAATACCACCAAAATGAAATCTCTATTTGTGTGAAAAACATTATAAAAATGTCATATGGGTACAGTGTTGCATGACCGCGCAATTGTCATTCAAGGTGTGACAATGCTGAAAATTTGCCTGGGCAGGAAGTGGGGGTAAAAGTGCCCGGTAGGCAAGGGGTTAAACCATTTTATGTAAAATATAACCCCCACCTCCCTTGTAATGAAGATGAATAGGGGTGGACAATGTAGTCCAAATCATGAGAGCAGCCTGGGGGTGACAACGCTGTGCATTCATAGATGCAGTGAAGTGAGTGTTTCCACCCTAGGACAGGAAGTATGTTATTGGCAGGATCAACAGGTGATAATAAAATAAATAAAAGCCTGAATTTGACACCAAACTTTGGTTGAAAAATATTATGCTATTCAAGTACATATTCTTTAACTCAGAAACAGCCCTTCTATTGCTCCCCAGCCTCCTAAATTCCCACAATTCTTTTTTTTTTTGCTGCTGTAATATGACTTTGCGTTAGAGCAGGGGTGTCAAACTGGCGGCCCTCCAGGTGTCGCGAAACTACAAGTCCCATCAGGAAAATAAGGATCAGAACGGCGCTGGGAGGGGACCAAACTGGAAAATGAATTGATAAAATATAGTGGATGGTCAGTAAAGGAGGGCGGAATGGGGGATATAAAATAGAATGTGTTAATAATGATAATAAAAATCAATAGTGATATAAAGCAATAATACAATAAAAAAGACAGATAAGACATAAAAGTCCATAATCCAGGGATCCTAAATGGTGTATGGCAGGTGAAGGCAGCTCCCCATAGAGCGAAGCAGTACTCTGCAGAGGATACAAACGAACAGAAGGGGGCGCCAATCTAAGTGTAGAGGGTTAGTATTTTAACCCCTTGGTGCCAGCACCTCCCAGCCCTTTAAGAATTTCAGAAGCCGGGAGGCGGGGTTTAAAGGTCATGTGACTGCCATGATTCACCGTCACAGTGGTCACATGATCGGGAAATATCCTGATCGAAAGAGGAGATCGGGACCTTTCTGTGAGTACCGGACATGTGTGCTGGTAGCGTGCAGGGCGCACGCTCTCAGCACATATGTTTTTCTTAATTGCACCCAAATGTGCGGCCGCTCGGCGTCAAGGCCCAAGCGCCGGGAGGCTGCACATTTGTGTGCGGCCGGCGTGAAGAGGCTAATAATTACACAGGGTATTAAAACTACTCACAAACATGATAAGTAAGAAAGCATGGTAAGGTAATCCTTTGGTAAGCCGTAAGTCCACCAGCGGTGAAGGTTCTGGTCATTCAGGATGAACAGGGATGGAGCCATCAGCTGTCAGCAGTGCAGAGAGTTTGAAATGGCGCCGAAACCAGCGTGGACCGCAAGGAAGACAGGGACTCGGTGGGCGACCAATGGCAGAGCAGGAAAATGTCAAGTGACGCGTTTCCAAGCAGATGCTTCTTCTTCAGACCTTCAACAACTGCTTCGAAACGCATCACCTGACATTTCCCTGCTTGCCATTGGTCGCCTGCCGAGTCCCTGTCTTCCTTGCGGTCCACGCTGGTTTTCGGCGGTTTTGCCGCATTTAACATTTTTCTGCTAAACGTCCAGGGGAGGTCATGTGTACATGAGACCAAAGACAGGCCACCCCTAGTGCTGAATAAAGGCAAAGCAGAAAGTTTCACCTTATGATTCATACTGACATGAGTACTAGTCCAGCATTGTCCTCTTTCAGCCCAAAGTTCTTCCTCTGCTCCCATCTTAAATTGATATTCTGCTCAGACGGACCTGGCAGGGACCAGCAACCTATCTGCACATGCACCAAAGTGTGCTAAATCCAAGCGCATGCACAGACACACTACAAGTCTAACTTGGCAGAGACCTGCGGCATGTCTGTGTATGCATGGAATGGGGCTAAACTCCCACGCATGCGCAGACACATTGTGAATCTTTGCCAGGGTATGGGGTTACGGCATATCTGCATATGTGCGGGGAGTTAGTGTGATTTGGTGCATACTTTGCACGTGTCTCTTCCAGGTCCTATGGACCCATGATGCATCCGTGTATGTATGAGATATGCAAGGATATTGCACAGCATACATTATCCTCACCAAACTGTGGGGCACACTAAAAAATGTATTTCTAAAAAATTGAGAGCTATTTTCCTGTGAAACTGCATGCACATTCTATTTTCCCTCCACGCTGAATGTTATTCATTCATACAGAAAAGAGTGAATCAGGAAGATACCACATCACGGACACTAGATGGAGCTGATGATCATCATCTCCACCTAGTGGCCATAATATGCTATTTTCCTGTATCACTCTATTTTTATGGAGATATAAAATTTGTCCCAGAGAGAAAATAGCCTAATAACATTTGATTTTGCACAGAAACACATGTACATGCAGTTTCACAGGACGCATAGCTCTGTATGGATAATGTTTGCTGTTGCTTGCTTGTTCAGGGTGTGCCAACCTTGTTCCTGTTGGATGCTAAGCATACAGGGATACAGCATATTGGGCACCAATTCACAATACAGAGAGGGGCAACCAAACTGATAAGAGGCATGGAGGAGCTCAGCTATGAGGAAAGATTAGAGGAACTGAATTTATTCTCTCTTGAGAAGAGGAGATTAAGGGGGGATATGATCTCCATGTATAATACATAAGGGGGGTATGATGATCATGTATAATACATAAGAGGGGATATGATCTCCATGTATAATACATAAGGGGGGATATGATCACCATGTATAATACATACGGGGGGATATGATCTCCATGTATAATACATAAGGGGGATATGATCTCCATGTATAATACATAAGGGGGGATATGATCACCATGTATAATACATAAGGGGGGATATGATCTCCATGTATAATACATAAGGGGGGATATGATCTCCATGTATAATACATAAGGGGGGATATGATCTCCATGTATAGAATACATAAGGGGGATATGATCTCCATGTATAATACATAAGAGGGGATATGATCTCCATGTATAATACATAAGGGGGGATATGATCTCCATGTATAATACATAAGGGGGGGATATGATCTCCATGTATAATACATAAGGGGGGGTATGATCTCCGTGTATAATACATAAGGGGGGATATGATCTCCGTGTATAATACATAAGGGGGGATATGATCACCATGTATAATACATAAGGGGGATATGATCTCCATGTATAATACATAAGGGGGGATATGATCACCATGTATAATACATAAGGGGGGATATGATCTCCATGTATAATACATAAGGGGGGATATGATCTCCATGTATAATACATAAGGGGGGATATGATCACCATGTATAATACATAAGGGGGGATATGATCTCCATGTATAATACATAAGGGGGGATATGATCACCATGTATAATACATAAGGGGGATATATTATCTCCATGTATAATACATAAGGGGGGATATGATCACCATGTATAATACATAAGGGGGATATATTATCTCCATGTATAATACATAAGGGGGATATATTATCTCCATGTATAATACATAAGGGGGGATATGATCTCCATGTATAATACATAAGGGGGGATATGATCTCCATGTATAATACATAAGGGGGGATATGATCTCCATGTATAATACATAAGGGGAATATGATCTCCATGTATAATACATAAGGGGGGATATGATCTCCATGTATAATACATAAGGGGGGGATATGATCTCCATGTATAATACATAAGGGGGGATATGATCTCCATGTATAATACATAAGGGGGGGATATGATCTCCATGTATAATACATAAGGAGGGATATGATCTCCATGTATAATACATAAGGAGGGATATGATCTCCATGTATAAATACATCAGTGGTTCATATAGTGAACTCGGTGTAGAGTTATTCACCCTGAGGTCATCACAGAGGACAAGGGGCACATTTTACGTCTGGAAGAAAATAAATTTAATATCCAAACACGGAAAGGTTTCTTCACAGTGAGAGCTGTGAAAATGTGGAATAGACTCCCTCAAGAGTTGGTTCTGGCCAGCTCAGTGGATTGCTGTAGGAAAGTCCTGGATTCTTTCTTAGATACACAGAATATAACTGGATACTAACATTTATAGGTAAGGTTGATCCAGGGAATATCCAATTGCCTCTTGGGGGATCAGGAAGGAATTTTTTCCCCTGCAGGAGCAAATTGGATCATACTTTGCTGGGTTTTTTGCCTTCCTCTGGATCAACTGTGGGTATAGGATTATAACTTTTTTTTTTTTTAATGGCTGAACTAGATGGACTTTTGCCTTTTTTCAGCCAGACTAACTATGTAACTATGATATATTTATTAATTCTGCAGCGCATCAAGGCAGTCCTAGACAGGAGCAGGGTGATAGATTATGAGACAGATTTACTATGAGAGTTCAGCTTGATTCATACATTCCTCCCTCTGCCCTAAAGAAGTGCTGGGATGGAATAAATCAACTGTGCGAGTGGGTGAAGAGTTCCGTGAAGCTGCACAAGGACTCATTTATCAGCTGCTGATGACTGCTGTAAATATGGAATATAAATATATAACATCATATTTACTGTTGTAAGGCCACAAGCAAAGTAAACATTTTATAACATTTATTTATTATAGGTATTTATATAGTGCTGTCAATTTATGCAGCGCTTTACATATATATTGTACATTCATATCAGTCCCTAATTCTCAAGGAGCTTACAATCTAAAGTCCCTAACTCACATATCCATACTAGGGCCAATTTAGACAGGTGCCAATGAGCCTACCAGCATGTCTTTGGGGTGTGGGAGGACACCGGAGTACCCAGAGGAAGCACACGCAGGCACAGGGAGGAAATGCAAACTCCAGGCAGGTGGTGCTGTCACTGGGATTTTAACCAATGACCCTAGTGCTGCCAGGTGGAAGTGCTAATCATTTAGCCACTGTGCTGCCCCATGCCCCAATATGCACTATCTAAGTGCGCTCATTCTTTTTGCTCCGGAACCCCGACCTAAACTTCCCAGTGCCCACTGCCTTTGGGGATCCTTTACATCCCATACTGTAAGACGCCCTCTTCTGGCCGCACTTACGTAGTACACTTCCATAGACGTTTACAGGGTCATCAACCCAGCTGGTAGACAGACTTGAATGAATACAGCCCCACAGGTTGCAGGCGAAGGATCTTGGTAAGTACAAATCTGAGAAGGAGGAGGGTAGAAGGGTTTGTGTCAGGGCACAAAAAAGAATAAGCGCACTGAAAGTACACTTATTTTTTTCAAGTATATATTACTCCAAGATCGAAAAGGTAATATGTTGCATCTTTCCAGTCCTTAGATGTGGTGGCTGCATTACTTTTTAACCACTTGCCTTCCAGAGGATTTACCCCCCTTCCTGACCAGGCCATTTTCTGCTATACGGCGCTGCTTTACTTTGACTGACAATTGCGCGGTCATGCAACGCTGCACCCAAATGAAATTTACGTCCTTTTTTCCCCCTACAAATAGAGCTTTCTTTCGGTGGTATTTCATCACCTCTGCAGTTTTTATTTTTTGTGCTATAAACAAAAAAAGACCGACAATTTTGATAATATTTTTGACTTTTTGCTATTACGCATGTCCAATAAAAAAATTTAAATTTAGGTCAAAATGTATTCTGCTCCATGTCTTTGCTAAAAAAAAAAATCCCAATACATGTATATTAATTGGGTTACGTGAGAATTATAGCATTTAGAAACGGTCGTATATATTGGAAATTTTTTTTTTAACTATTAATGGCGGCGATCAGCGACTTATAACGGGACTGTGGCGGACATTCTGACACTGGGGGGAATTGACTTGGTGTCACTGGCATCCCCAGTGACACCAATACAGTGATCGTACTAATGGCACTGGGCAAGAAGGGGTTAACATGAGGGGCGATCAAAGGGCTAACTGTGTGCTGTGTGTTGTTTCATTGTGTGCTGTGTGTTGTTTCATTGTGTGCTGTGTGTGTGATTTACACTGTAAGGGAGAATGTCACAGCACACCGAGGATCACCAATATAGGTCCAAAAGTTTTAATGAATGATCACAGTTACAGCAAGGCAACGTTTTGGAGTCTCGCAGGACCCCTTCATCAGGTATGTGACCATCATGTGACCATCAGGCATGCGGCATGTGAAGGAGCTGACAGGGAAGAGATCTGTGTTGTATATACACAGGTCTCTCC